ATCTACTGTCATTTATTCTTATACACTTTTATCAGAGGATAAAGTCGATAAGGGCACTTTAAATACTTATGTTATAACTGGTAAAGGTGGTGTTATGTGGTCATGTATTATAATGTCGAAATAAAGCTGAAAAAACAACCTGTTGTGAGGAAAATAACTGCATTACTTAATTGAGTGATTTTTTTAAATTAAGCCAAAGTTTTCTTTTAGAACCTATAAACTGATAAACTGCAAACATTTATTTTTCTCTAGTTTCTGTAGTAGAGCTGCGCGTAAAGGAGGAGTGAGCCATGAACTCTCTCTCTCTCTCTCTCTGCTGAGGCGTGGTGTATTACTCTCCCAGACTGGAAGAGGCATTCTGATGGGCTGCTGTGGGAACTCAGCTACAAAGGCATTCAGAGCAGAGGCAGTGAATTTGCTCAGCAGTATCCCTGCCAGAGCGGCAGTCCTTTCCCAAACAAGGCAGAGCGCGTCTTTAGGCGCTCTGGGAATAAACAAACCCGCAAGATCCCTTTGATTAGAATAATCAAGATAAACTCCCCCTGGACTTTTAACTTTTAGAGCAAAAACAATCCTTGTCAGTAGAAGTGGGACATCTGTTAAGAATGATGGGATTTAAACCTTTCTTCTTCAGCAAAATTGTGGTTACTCTCCTTGTAAGCAGCATCTGCGCGACCAAAATAAATGTCCCACGGCTGAGACTCTCCTACAAAGGTAACGCATTTTATTCATCCACCCTAAAGAGACGCTCTTTATCATTGCATTTGCGCGCGTTTCTGCAGGTGGCATAAACTTGTGGAACGGCCCATCAGATGATATGCATTTCTTTTTTCAGTAGTTTATACTTTTCACAGATATTTTTGCTCCTGTTTTTTTTATTGTCTTCCTTGTGGCTGTCCAAGCTGGAAGCGTTTAATTCGGGTCGCTCATCTGGCTACTGTTTCACAGGTTTACGTGCTTCAGGAGGCGCACATGCTTTGCTGCGCTGGTAGGGCGCGCAGTTACAGGAGGTTTTAGGCGCAGCTTCACTTCTCTGCGGTCAGATCCACCACGGTGCGACCATCTCATTAAAAGAGTTTATTAGGAACGGCAACCACGTCGGAATTCAGAGGCATGTAACTCGGCCGACATTTAAACTGCTTCAAGCACTGAGGGCATGGAAATAAGCACCGACCTCGATGGTTAATTAATACTGTTCACACAGATTTGGACTCAAGCAGTAATGATGCTACACTGGAAAAAACATCAAGAAAAAAGTAATAATTTCTCAAATTAAGGGTATTTACCGTTAATTTGAATAGGAACATGAGGTAGTTTAACACTGGAATGAGTATTTTTACTTTTAAAATCAGATAATTAGATAACATGCACTTAAATTGAGACAAT